ACTGGCTTCTTTCAGTATTTTTCTTTATCTCTGATTTTCTGTAGTTTGAAAATATGCGTAGGTGTAGTTTTTTGGCATTTATCCTGCATGGTGTTCTCTGAGGTTCCTTGATCTTTGGCTTGGTATCTGACATTAATTTGGGGGAATTCTCGGTCATTATTGCTTCAAATATTTTTTTTCTTTTAATATATCTTTATTGATTTCAGAGAGAGGAAAGGAGAGGGAGAGAGAGAGATAGAAACATCAATGATGAGAGAGTCATTGATCAGCTGCCTCCTTTACTCCCCTGACTGGGGATCGAGCCCGCAACCAGCGTATGTGCCCTGACCGGGAATCGAACCCTGCTTGCCTGGATCCTAGGTCTGTGCTCAACCGCTGAGCCATGCCTGGCCTGGCCAAATATTTTTTCTATTCCTTTCTTCTCTCTCTGGTATTTCTATTATGCGTGTTCCACCTTATGTAGTTATGCCACAGTCCTTGGATCGTCTATTTTATTTTTTGGATCCAGTATTTATTCTCTGCTTTTCAGTTTTGATGGTTTCTATTGATATATCTTCAAGTTCAGAGATTCTTTCCTCCTCTGACTCTATTTTACTAATAAGCCAATCAAACACATTCTTCATTTCTGTTACAGTTCTTTTTTATCTGTAGAGCTTCTTTTTGGTTCTTTCTTAGGATTCCTATATCTCTGCTTATATCACACATCTATTCTTGCATGCTGTCTGCTTTATCCAGTAGAGTCCTTAGCATATTAATCATAGTTGTTTAAAATTCCCAATCTGATTAGTTCCAGTGTCCCGGCCATGTGTGGTTCTGATACTTGCTCTGTCTCTTCAGGTTGTGTTTTTTGCCTTTTAGTGTGCGTTGGGATTTACTTTTGATAGCCAGGCATGATGTATCCATACAAGAAACTGTTGTAAATAGGTTTTTAGTAATGTGATGTGGTAATAAGATGTGGGGGGAGGGGAAGTATGCTACAGTGCTCTGACTAGGTCTGAATCTTTTATGAGCTGGTGGTGCCTCTGGACTGTGAACTTCACAAGTACTTCTCAGGTTTTTCATCCCCCTTAGGTGGGACAGGATGGCTAGAGTGGGCTGAAGTTGGGTATTTCCCTTCTCCCAGGTCAGTTAAGCTCTAATAGTACCCTATAGGTTAGGCTATGTTTAACTAGTTCCCCCTGAGGGCAGTCCTTGTTAAAAAAACAACAATGAAAACAAAAAAACAGGCTTCTGGTCAAGATGGCAACATAGGTAAACATAGTCCTTGCATCCTCCCACAATCACATCAAAATTACAACTAAACTACAGAACAATCATCATTCAGAACCACCTGAAATCTAGCTGAACAGAAGTCCTACAACTAAGAATGGGGCAGAGATATGGAATGGGCTAGTCCTACCCCATAGGGGTAGGAGGGATATCTCAGCTGCAGAGGTACCTCCTGAGGAGCAAGAGGTCCCAGCCCCATACCAGGCCTCCCAGCCTAGGGTTTCAGGGCCAGAAGGAGAAGTACCTATAACTTCTGGCTGTAAAAACCAATGGGAATTCTGGCTGAGTGAGACAAAAAGCTGCTTGAGTCCCAGGTGTTCTTAAAGGGCCAGTGCACAGACTTACTTGACCTCACTCGCTCTGAGCTCCAGCACTAGGGCAGTAGTAGCTCAAGAGGCACCAGGGAGCCTTCCAGTGTGGCTCAGTGGTTGAGTGTGGACCCATGTACCAAGAGGTCTCCAGTTAGATTACCGGTCAGGGCACATGCCCGGGTTATGGACTCAATCTCCAGCAAGGGGCATGAGGGGGACAGCTGATTGATATTGATGCATCAGTGTTTCTATCCCTCTCTCTTTCTCTCTCTAAAATCAATAAAAACATAGAGTGGTACCTCAGTTTTTGAAAGTCTCTGTTGAGGAACATTTTGGTTTATGAATGCTGTAAACCCAGAAGTAAATGCTTCCGTTTCAAACACACCTCAGAAGTCGAACATGCCACACAACTTCTGCTGAGTGCAAGATCCTGAGGCCTAGCTGTTGGCTGTTGATCCCTTGGTTTTCGAATGTTTCAGAACTCGAATGGTCTTCCAGAACAGATTACATTCAAAAACCAAGGTACCACTTTCATTTTTAAAAGGGTACTGGGGACATACAGGGAGGAACTGACTTGTCTGGTATCAATTTGAGGGCTGGAGGGGCAGCTTTCTCCCAGACAAAAGTGTTGGCAGAGGTCACTGTTCCTTTTCTGAGGCCTCCCACCACAGAGCCAGCAGGCAGGCACCATATCCGAGTCTCCATCAACCTGGCTCACACTTTTAGCCCCACCCTGGTGATTCCTGAGACCCAGCCTCATCCAACTTTTGGGCCCACACAAGCTGGTTATAAGGATGCTCAATGAACTTAGAGAAAGAGTAGATGAACTTAGTGAGAACTTCAACAAAGCCATAGAAAACATAAAAATTGAACTAGAAAACATAAACAAGAACCAGTCAGAAATGAAGAATACATTAACTGACATGGAAAATACATTATAGGGAATAAACAGTGGAGTAGATGAAGCAGAGGATCAAATCAGATATTTGGAAGATAAGGAAGCAGAAAACACACAATCAGAACAGCAAAAAGAAAAAATAATCCAAAAAAATGAGGATAGTATATGGAGCTTCTGGGACAGCATCAAGTATACCAACATTTGCATCAAGAAGAGAGAGAGCAAGGAATTGAAAAGCTATGTGAAAAAATATTGATGAAAAAGTTCCCTAACCCGGTAAAGGAAATAGACAAGTCCAGGAAGTATAGAGAGTCCCAAACAAGATGAATCCAAAGAGGCCCACACCAAGACACATCATAATTAAAATGCCAAAGGTTAAAGACAAAGAGAGAATCTTAAAAGCAACAAGAGAAAAGCAATTAGATACTTATAAGGGAGCTCCCATAAGACTGTCAAATGATTTCACAACAGAAACTTTGCAGGCCCAAAGGGATAGGCAAGAAATATTCTAAGTGATGAAAAACAAAGACCTACAACCAAGATTACTTTACCCAACAAAGCTATCATTTAGAATCGAAGGACACATAAAGAGTTTCCCAGGCAAGAAAAAAACTACAGGAGTTAATCACCACCAAACTAGTGTTACACGAAATGTTAAAGGGTCTTCTTCAAGAAGAAGAAAAAAAGATAAAAAATATGAATAATAAAATGGTAATAAATACATATCTATGAGCAATTGAATCCAAAAAAAAAAAACCCTAGCAGAACAGAAACAGACTTATAGTCCTGACTGGTGTGGCTCAGTTGGTTGGAGCATTGTCCCATACACCAAAAGATGGTGGGTTTGACTCCCAGTCAGGGCACACACCCAGGTTGCAGGTTAGATCCTTGGTTGGGGCACATGTGGGAGGCAACCAATCAATGTTTCTCTCTCACATCGATGTTTCTCTCTCTTTCTGTCGCTGCCTATCTCTAAAATCAATAAAATAAAATAAAAACATATCCTTGTGTGAGGATTAAAAAAACACAACACACTTATAGATACAGAGGACATTTTGACAGATGGGAAGGGTGTTGGGGGAATGGGTGAAAAAGGTGAAGGGATTAAAAAGTACAAATTGGTAGTTACAGAATAGTCATGGGGGTGTAAAGGGCAGCATAGGAAATACGGACAATAATATTATAATAACTATGTAGGTTGTTCGGTAGATATGAGATTTATCAGGATAATCACTTAGTAAGTTATATAATGTTTAATCAGTGGGTTGTACACCTGAAATTAATATAATTTTGCATGTCAACTATAAATGAAAGATAAAAAGTTACTTAAAGTCAAAAAAAAAGAAAAGAACTAATAGACAACTAAGATTCAATGGAGCACCTGATAAAGTGATTGCATTTGACCACACAGTTCTAGTGCTCTACAGACCAGCTTCCCAATGGCATATTTTTCATCACACATTTATCTACTCCAGGATCCAGCAATTTTCCTGGTATTCACTCAAAATAAACAAAAATGTGTCAAAACAACAACAAAACAACCAACCAACAAACAAGCAAACAAAACCAGAGTGCTCTGGTATGTTTAAATGGTCTCTTTTCCCCTTCACCCAGCTGGAAACAAAAGGAAGGGGGAAAAGAAACCATTTTGAAGTACGCCAGAGCACTCTGTTTTTTTGTTTGTTATTTACTGTGAGAACCTGATCTATCTCTTGGAGGTAAAACTCACAAAAGTGTGGAAGCACCCCCTGTGACTGCCTCCCCTCCCGAGCCTTTAACATTCAGACTTGTCCTCACTATGCCTCCAGCAGTTACGGTTTCAGTTCCTACCCCTGCATAGGTTTCTGCAGCAGTTTCCACTCGTGAGTCTCTGCTCCAATAACCATGACTCCCTGTATTCACCTGTCTCTCCAATCTTGGGGACAGTGGTTTGCCCTGTGTCCTCAGCTCTCTTATGAGTCTAAGAAGAATTATTGATTTTTCAGATTGTTCAGTTTTATACTTGTTAGAATGGAGTGGTGACTTCCAAGCTCCTTACATGAAGAATCAGAAAACTATTAAAACAGATTCATTTTTACACTATCTGAATGCATCATGATTTTATCAATTCAACTTTATGCTCTTTCAGTCATCATTTCTGTCTGAAGAAGCCCATCATTTTTTTAGTCACTTAGGACCATTGCCAAGTCTTCAGCCACAATATTCCAGTCACAATAAATACAGTAACTTCTTGTCAGGGAAACCACACTTCCTTTCTTCTCCCTCTGCCCTTCCACTTCTCAGTATCCCACCAATACAGGTAAAATCTGTCACTTGTCTATACTAGAGATAATACAAACTAGAAATAATAAGAGAAAAGAACAGAGATCTAGACCACCACAAATACCCATCTTCCTTCTTAAACTCTCTATTCAGCATCCACATGATTACTCTCAAGAACCTATTTCTCCCCACTCCCAGAAGATTCCTCAGTTGAGGATAGCATGTAGGAAGAGGAAGCTGGGACGCTGGTGCTCACTCACCTCTGAAAGAGCTCTCTGCAGCACACATAGGCCTCATAGGTTCTATTGGTGAAACTTGTGTTTAGGAAGGAGACACAGTCAGTTTCAGCTCCCCTGGGAACATAGAGGATTCCTAGATAAAGGAGACAGAGATACTAAGGGGAAGATTTTACACATGTTCCCGAAGGCTCTCAATAATTTGTGTGTAAACTGGAGAACATTGTAGATTAGGTGCCTTTTCTATGCATCTGTGAGGTGGATGGTTAAATCAACATTCTGAGAGCAATTTTGTCAGGACTTAGGTGTGTGATTTCTGCCAAGAGACTAAACTGAGGTACCTACCTGCCATGCAGGCACTGATAAGGGATACACAGGCCCCTGTGAAGAGGGCACTGATCACAACCTTAGACAAGTCACTCTTCCGGTGAGGTACCATGGATGCTGCACACAACAAAACAAAATAATTTCATCTCTTCTTCACCAATTGGTATTTCCCATGAGCCCCAATTAAAGAATGCAGAAGAACAAAACACAGCAGATGAGTAGCTTTCTTACCACTAACCACCAGAGGCAGGCCAGCGGTATACACACTTAAGAAGTGTGTGTATACGTTAGTCCTGAGGGTTCACTAACTCAAACATTTTCCAGGTCAAGGAATGTGTGTCTGACCCTAACTTCGGTGGTTCCATGAACATTCCCATGATGTATCTGAATCAAGGAAAGCTCCGGTTTGCTCCAGACAGGCACAAATGCCTGGTGTTCACTAATTGAGATCTCAAACTAGGACCAGAATTGGATGGACTTTTTTGAACCAGAGGGATATAAGATAGGCCACATTCACCTAAGCCTTAGTCACAAAACACACATCCCACTGCTAGATGGCAATCTCACAATCAAACAGTAATCAGGCTTCAGAGTTGGAACAGTACAGACAAGTATTTAACAAAGCGGGGGGGGGAGAACACAAAAGGAAATTGTTTCACCTTTAAATTGTTCAATCAGCTACCAAATAAATCAACTTAATGAATCTAGCACAGAATATGGACACCATAATAAATGGACACACTGAGCTCTATTTCTTCTTATACTCTATTTCTAACTTGGATCTTCCAAACTCTTGGAGTCTGCTAGTCATTCTCCCCACCGCTGTTCTCAAGGACAATTTCACTTTACTCATATTTTTTCATCCAACCATTACCCACAATATAAATGTATCTGTGTCTGCTTCAAATACTCCTACCACACCTGGTGATTTGTAGCTTTTAATACCACACTTGACACCACTTGCTCTTACTATCTGTCTGCCTTATGCATCTGATGATTTTATTTGTCTTTTGATTCCTTGTGCAACTCTTACTTCTGTGAAGACAGCTGGTGAGCAGCCTAATTTTAGAAAGTACTTTTGCTACTGAATAAAAAACAAATTATCTTTACTCATGTATGCCCTATGCCCATTTAATGGCAAAATAAAAGTAATATCATTATCATCTTCCTCAAAGGGAAAATAAAAATAAAATAGGTCTTTTGGGCTTTCAAGGAAATGGAAAAAGAGTAACAGGAATTGAGATTGCAAACCCATCGTAGGCTCCATGCATAGCCAAGTAGCACAGCTGCCTTAACTCCAAATTAGCTGCACCTGAGAGGGCCCATATCCCATCAGCTTCTCTATCTGGTCTTAACTTGTGAGGCACCAGGACTGCCTACTATGGAAGCTGGGATCTGTCTGGCTTATTGTGTAGTTGGGAAAATGAATTAACTCACTTAAGCCTCCCAGTGTGATTCCTATGGAACTAAAATTGGCAAATCCACAGAGTGAAAATGTTGTAATGATTTCAGCTCTCACCTAGGAAAAACGAAAGTAAATAAGTAAATAAACTCAGTCCCATATGCGCAGTCATATAACCACAATAGATGTTCCAGAGATCATAGAACCCCCAGTCTTTACCACACTACCCTAAGGAACATGGAAAAGATGCTCAGAAAATAACCACTTGCTGAGTTATTACAGGAATAATGATATGGCAACCACGGTGGGCCTCTCTGCCCAACACTCTTCTTGTTGACACCCACAGATAAGGAGCAGGCCTAGGAATGAGGATGACTGAGGGGGGAGAGAGAGAGGGAGAGAGAAAAGGAGACCAATTTATAGCAATTTAAACTTATAAATTAAGAAGTGGACCTTAGACCATCAAAAATAGTGTGCACCCTGGACTGCCCCAACTGGAAAGACCCAGAAGTTGCGTTATAGAGAGAAGTTGGGTCAGAGTACAGGGGAGCAATGGCACACAGACCTCAGGGCAGCTGGAGCTAAGCATACTGTTATGCTTGTTTTGTGGTTAGGCCTGAGGCACTGGAAAGTGATCCGTGAGTGTGAAACAAACTCGTGTAATGCTTTCTGTCTGCCCACAGATGGTTTATGCTTTCCTCGATTGGCACCTACAGAAATCCACTGTTTCTCGCCCCCGATCCACTCTTCCACTCCAGAGAGACGTTTGTTCTTGTATTGAGACAGTCGCTGATAGGCCACAAACTCATTTGTGAAGAACTTGATCCCCACCATCTCAGCCACCATTGGACAGTCTGCCCACTCTACACCCATCATGAAGACCATGGGCCTTAGGATATAGGAGCAAATCACCTAGGTGAAAAGAAAGAGATATCCCAGGAAAAGAAAGAACAAATAACACAGGTCAGGACCCAAGGACTTTCTCTGGAGTCTTGTCTCAGACTCCTCCTCCCTTCTATCTATGCTCTCCTTTAGCTCACTGTGGGTCAGGAGAGCATGCACAGTTCAAAGACTACTTAAATAGTAGTCTTCTCCTGGAGGGAGAGCCCAACAAATGTAATTGTTTACCTGGAAAGTGAGCCCCTGTATGTCTACCAGTTCCCCTAGCCAGGAGAGGGCAGCATTGACGAAGGCCAACACAGCCAGGAAGGCAATCAGGTTGGCCGCTACGTTAGCAGCAAGCCCTATGGCATCTGTGGCTCCATTGCTGGCAGCTTCCAGGATATTCTTCTCCTTCCTGTGGTTATTGGGCAAAGGAGAAGAATAGGGTGTCTGGATTAGTCTCAGCCCCTCACAGGAGAGAAATCCCACCTTCCCTGTGGTGCAGGAGGAAGGTAAAAGACCAGCTTGAGAGGTGATGGGGTTCCTTGGTGACCCTTTTGGTAGAAATTACACTGAGGCAGTATCAGATTTAACTGCCATGGAATTGCATTGACACCTAGGACAGAGGATACTGGTATGCAGAAAAGAGAAGCAGGTGAAGGGTTAAACAAACAAAGGAAATCAACAGGATTAGCTAGAAGGCAGAGGTAGCCAAGAGGGGACATGGAATCAGAGCATTCCTTCTCCAGGAGACTTGAAGCCTCGCCGCCATAGCACTGCTCTTGACTCTGCACCTGACCTCACCATCTCCCAAATTATATGCCTCATTGGACTCACCCACGGAGCAATTTTACCCCCTCCTCATGCTTGAACTTGGATTCCTCCACTTCTGGGTATACCAACTTCGACAAGGCGAGAGCACAAGGGGCAGCCATCACAGACGCAGAAATCAAGGACGAAGCTTCAATCTGTAAGGCCAGACGTGTGAATGAGCATCTGCAGAGCCCAGGCTTGGGCTCACCCAGAAGTGATCAAACAGACTCTGCCTACCCCGAAGGATATGAACGCTCCCAACACAGTGCCCGAAATGGTGGCAAACCCTCCGGTCATCACTGCGTGGATTTCAGAGAGTGTCATGTCTGCAAGGTATGGACGGATGAGAAGAGGTGCCTCTGTCTGTGAACAAGGGGAAGCGAGTCAGATTCAAGAGGGTGTGACTCCCCACCCTAGGGTGCCCACCCCAGCCCCGGGGACATATCCCTCTAGTGTGAGCGCCCTTCCAGCACGGAGCTCTGCTTTTAGGCCCTGCCAGCATCTGCATCACTCTCTCTGGCACCTAATCATATCCTGGCTGTCATTGTTCTCATCTGTTTTCATACATGTTTGTCTTATTTATTTAAATTCTAAAATGTTACGGAAGAGAAATGGTATATTTTGGGGTATGTTCTCCATGTCTAAAATCTTATACAGTAAGTCCTCAACATTGATAGGCTGTGCTACTTTAAGCAAAACAGTGTATAATGAAACCAATTTTATCACAGACTAATTGATACAAACAAGAATTAAGTTCCTATGGCATCTCTTTCAACTTTGTAATGAAACAACGTTGAATGAAATACTTTTTGTCCAGGCATTACTTGACTACCTGCTATACTTAAAAATGACCTTATGAAATACAGTGCACTTCCTGAGTACATATTAGTACCTTAAAAAGTACTCATTAAATGAATTGCAAGTAGATTATTAAAGCCCAATGTTGATGAAAGAATCGTAAGAAATGTTCTTGAAAATGTTAGGAAATTATGAAGACCCAACTCTGTAAACTGTATTTAGCACCAACCTAAGATAGTTATTTATCATTCAATGAGTGACAACTGTGTGCCTAGTGCTTTACTGGATGCTAGGAATATTAATATAAATAAGGCAAAGATCCTACTCTTAGGAGCTTAAAGTCTAGCAGAGAAAACTAAGCTAATTATGGGTAATTTCAGTAAAATGTGGAGTTCTATGGTGGGAGTATGCAGAAGTACTCTAAGAACACTTTAGTAACAGTTAATCAGCTTAGGGCCTTGAGAGAGAAAGACTTCCATACTAACTCCTTGTCAATTTGACAAGCCATTGTCCCTAACATTGAGCTATCCAGTCAATAGCATTTATTGAGCACCTATTCCATATAAACGTATCAAATAGTGTATTATGGGGAAGCACCTTGGGGTTAGCTCTGAGCAAGGCAAACTATTGCCTCCTTAGAGACCCTGGAAAACAAGGATCACAGGGAGAAACCAGAACCATAGAGCAAATATTCTTCATAAACACTGAAAGCAGTAAGATTTGGACCAGGATGTTTCCCTAAATTCCTGTGCAAGAAGTTGGATCAGTGATTAAGGATGTCTAAACTAAGCATGCACAGGTAAGTATTATTACACATGAAGGGTAAAAGCAATGAGCTGAGTTTCCTTTGAACTTCTGAGTTTTCTTTGTGACTGGCTGCCCATACAGTGATTGGCTGCCCATACTGTTCATTTATTTGACTTTTCAGAAGGAAAATCTACTTTTCTCAACCTGTTTTCTGCCACACTATTTGTTCCCAGGAAAAAAGATCAGAAGGCCTGAGTGTACTTACCATACCCACAAAGATGTTTCCTGCCACAGACAGGGTCTCTGTGGCAGTGGTGCCCATGGTGATTTGTAAAAACCAAGCAATCTAAAGAGATACAAACACCTAAACCATTAACATTAGCAGGAATCTTAGAGAGTATCCAGCAAATCCCCCACCCCTTTCTCTAATTTACTGGTAAGGAAATTAAGGCCTAGAGAAGTGAAGTGAGAAGCCCAAGGCCACAAAGCAAGTTAGAGAGCCTAGACCAGAACTCAGGACTCTTGGCTTCCAGAACTAGTAGATTAAAACTCAGTATGAAATGGTAGTCCAGCCCATTTTCTCTTCCTGCTCTGCCCCTCAGCCCACCTAGATCCTGGGCCTGACCATCCCATATCAGGCATGATTGAAAGAGTTTGCCTTTTTACATTGGTTCTAACATCTAGATCCTATTTGTGAGCATTCTCCCAAAGTAAGTGTCAATTTCATGCTTCTTGACAGATCACAAGATGAAAGCCCACCTTCTGAGTGGTGTAGGAGAATGACTCACCTTCTGAACTATCCACTGCACGAGGCCCAGGTAGTAGAGAATGGACATCACGCATCCAAAGTAAATAATGATTGGTAAGGCCTGTAATGAGAATGACAGGTGACTAATCATATGTTACAGTAGTCCCCCCTCACCCATGGTTTTACTTTCTGTGGTTTCAGTTACCCACAGTCAACCATGGTCAGAAAATATGTAACGGAAAACTCCAGAAGTAAACAATCCATAGGTTTTAAATTGTGCGCCATTATGAGTAGGATGATGGGATCTGTGCTGTCCTGCGCTGTCCTGACTGGGACATGAATCCTCTCTTTGTCTAGCGTATACACTGTTTAACACTACCCGCCAGCCTATTAGTCAATTAGTAGCGGTCTAGGTTATCAGACGGACTTTCACAGTATCTCAGTGCTTGTGTTCAAGTAACCCTTATCTTACTTAATGGCCCTAGAGCATAAGAGCAGTGATGCTGGTAATTCATAAAGTGCTTCCTTTAAGAGAGAAAGTAAAAGCTCTCAATAAGAAAAGAAAAAAATCGTATACCAAGTTTGCTAAGATCTACGGTAAGAACGAATCTTCTATCTATAAAATTGCCTAATTTATAAATTAAACTTTATCAAAGTCATGTAGGTAAAAGGGAAAAAACAGTATTTATATGGTTCAGAACTATCTGCAGTTTCAGGCAACCCCTGGGGGTCTTGGAATGTATCCCTCGCAGGCGAGGGGGGACTGCTGTAGGAACGTGCTCATGTGTGCCACACATGGACTGTGTTTCCAGCCTCTAAATTAAGCTCTGAGCCTTCCAAGAGCAGCTGACACAGTATAGATACTCAGAGGATATTTAAACACAAGCTAGTTTAGGAATAAATTTTAAATGTATTATATCTATTATCCCATTAGTACTAAAGCCACAAGGAGATGTTCTCTGAGCCTTGCTCACTCTTATTTTAGCCCAGTTTCAGGATGGTAATGATCAAAGGGCGAGAGATTGCTGCTGTGCCTTCTCCTGATGGGGTCAGATCCTCTTCTTAGGGTCAGACTGGTCTGTAAACTGATCTCTTGGACACACATTTTCATCCTCTGCTTTACATCTCTGCCCATACTGACCCTCATTCCTGCCTACAGAACAGACATGACCTGAAAAGCGAAGACGTCCTTGACCAGCGTATCCCCAAAGACAAAACTGGAGCCAGCCACAGTGTAATTTAGGAAAATCTGAAAGAAAAGAGAAAGAGAGAGTGAACAAGAGTGAAGCCAGGTAGGACACAGTGGAACATGCGATCAGCCTCATGCATGATTAGGTCCTACTGCTGTTACTGAAGTTGGTCTCCCTTTGACAGCACAGGACAGGCTATGTCCCCATGAGCTGCCCACTGAATGACAGAGGACTCAGCAGTTCAGTTCTCTATTCATATGATTAGTTGTACCCCAGTATGCTCTGTCCTTTCGCACCAGATCTCCCACCACCATCATTAACAAGACATAGTCCAATCTCTGCACACTCCCCCAAAACTTCTTTCTCTAGGGTTCTGAAAGAGCAGAGCCCCCACATTTAATTTCTCATACCTGAATCTGGTCTCCCAGCCACTGAAACGCATTAAATCCAGGATCAGTTCTGATGACCAAGACCCCAAAGACAAATTGAAGACCCAGGCCCCAAAGCACCGTCCTCCAGGACACCTGGGACCAATAAGAACATTATTCCAATGTGAGTTCTAAACTATACTTGTGCGTTACCTGGTTGGAGTTTTAAACATGGGTACATGTCCTCTGGGTGAAACTAACCTAGGATGTTAACAGGAAACCTGGGGTAAGGTGTAGTAGAGAACAGGGGGAAACAGGGTGGTAAAATGTAAAGAGCCACATATGCCCATATAGTTTTTTAAACTATCTGCAGGATAGATGACACACATGCATACATACATACATACAAATAAAAGCATCGTAAGCCAATACTTTAATATTACTACATGCAATGCAAGCTGGTTCTCTATTGTATTCTATTTTCTTTCTTTCCTTTTTTTCTTTTGTTCTTTCTTGAATACTGGCCTAGAGCCACAAATTTGATATCAAGGCTCACTGATGGATTAGAACCTACCATTTGAAAATAAGTGGTCTAGGGCCTCTGACAACTTTAATACTTCTCTTAGGAGTAAAATCATCAAAAAAGCAAATTCCAGAGACTGTAAAAAGTGTAGTTCTACGCTGTTGTGATCAATACTTGACACATGCACTTTGTAATCAGTAACGCACGGCCCTTGGCCCATCCTGTGCACCCCAAACTCACTGCGCTGTGGTGCTTGGAGCAGGCAAAGAGCGTGAGGATGAATATGCAGATTCCCGCAAAGGACATCAGCTGCTCGGGCCTTTGGGCTGTGTCCAGAGCCAGCCACAGGATGAGGCCAACCAAGGCGGCTCCAGCGAACACCCTGAGGAGGGGAGGCCCATACCATGTTATCAGCTCAGTGAAATGAATAAGATAATTAACCTTATCTCTAAAAAATAGAAGTTCACCCCAAGGGTAAGTGAAATAACTCAATAGGTTAAACACAGAAACATATCTTGGGAATCATTGATTCAGTAGTTTCTTAGCTAGCAGCTCTCTCTCCAATTCTCGTATGCACAGAATGAAGTTGAAAGAGTCCATCCATATAAAGACTCATTCTTTAAGCTTGTCCTAATGAAGTAACCAAAATATTTTTAAAAGGAAGAAGAGTATGCATAGTCCTCCCCTATGAATCTTCACCCAATTTCCAACCACTCCAAGTGCAAGAGTAAAGGCTAAGCTACAATCCAACCTCTATGGTCTTCTGGTCCCTTGATGTACCAAACATGCTTGATCAATACACAGACTGCTCATCTTATGTCTGAGTATTGGAGTCATTTCAGTTCAAGGGAAAAGAATTAGAAGGGAGAGCACGAATGAAAGGAAAGCAAAAGAAAAAGAGCTCATTGTCCACTGAGATGCTTTAGGAACAGCAATCCTGGACAACAAAATGCTTTGCAAGTCAGGGTTGAATTTTGGAGCTGTTCTTACTGTGAACTCTTCTCACTGAAAGTGAATAAAATCCTGTTTCCGGAGTCTATCCTGTTAATGGATAGTGTCATTTTAGCTCTGGCTCCTCAGTGTCAAATCAATGATCCAAAATTTAGGTTGCAGTCTGGTGTGTTTCTCCAAATAACTGCTGTTGCAGATACATATTTTTTTAAGATACACATTTATTGATTTCAGAGAGAGGGAGAGAGAGAGAGAAACATCAAGGGATGAGAGAGAGTCATTGATCAGCTGCCTCCTGCACACCCCTGACTAGGGATCGAGCCTGCGGCCAGGGCACGTGCCCTGACCAGGAATCGAACCTCGATTTCCTGGATCCTAAGTGGATGCTCAACTGCTGAGCTCCGCCGGCCAGGCCAAACATTCTTTTTCTTTTTTTTTTTAATATATGTTTTTATTTTATTTTTTAATATATCTTTATTGACTTCAGAGAGTGGAAAGGAGAGGGAGAGAAAGAGATAGAAACATCCATGATGAGAGAGTCATTGACCGGCTGCCTCCTGCACGCCCCAGACTGGGGATGGAGCCCACAACCTGGGCACGTGCCATGACTGGGAATCGAACCCTGATCGCCTGGATCCTAGGTCGACGCTCAACCGCTGAGCCACATCAGGCCAAACATTCTTAACACCTATTTTCTGTGCATCCATTGGAGAATAGGCAGAAACAGGAACTCTATGAAGAGTATGAAAGTTATTCTGTCACTCCAGGCCTGTGATCCAAGGACATATGCATACTATATGGTTAGTTAGATGAGCTGTGGCTGCCACAGAATCCACTTCAGTATTCACTGAACAGTAAGTTTGCTGGTTAAACTCTAAGGAATTGTAAAAGACACCAGTGGGTGGGGAAAGCCTGAGGGACTAGAAGAAAAAAAGACATAAAAAGTATCAGGGAGCCGGCTGGCATGGCTCAGAGGTTGAGCATCGACCTACGGTCCAGGAGATCACAGTTTGATTCCTGGTCAGGGCACATGCCCGGGTTGCAGGCTCGGTCCCCAGTAGGGGGCGTGCAGGAGGCAGCCAATCAATGACTCTCTCATCAATGATGTTTCTATCTCTCTCTCTCCCTCTCCCTTCCTCTCTCTGACATCAACAAAAATGTATTTTTTTAAAAAAGTATCAGGGAACTAAGGAAGGCACGTATGACCACCAAATCAATTTGATGGCTTAATGCAGCTGCAAGCCTCTTTGTTTTGATTATTTCGTTGCAGAAGAGTATGGTTTTCCTTATTTCTGTCACTAACCCTGACAATAAACAGACTGAAACTCCTCTCTGAAACTCAGCCACTCCTGCGCACTAGCAATGTTGATACACAAGGCTACAAGAACCTGGACTGAAGTCCAGTGCTCTGAGGCCTGTTATTATTTTTTCTCTGGGCATTGATTTTGAAAAGCGTAGGTGAGGGTCTGAGAGACAGCTCAGGAACTGTGAAAGGGGAAAAGGAGAAGCAGATTGGGGTTTGGGACAAGTTTGGGGACCAGGGATATTGAGATTCTTAACTCACCGTTTCATCCAAAGCTTTAGGCAGGAGTTTTTAAAGGGCTTCAGGCATATTGTTAATTTTTCACCAAGGAGCTTTTTCAGAGAGCGGTGAACCAGGACCAAGAGCACCAAGCAGGTCAGGACGAACAGGGCCAGTGCCCTCTGGAAATCCAAGATGCAGGCTGCCAGGAAGTAGGCAGCATAAGCTAAAAGAAGAAGGGGCGGCGTGAGGCTCGACAAGTCAGAGCTCCCCCAGGGGCAAATGAAGCTCTAGTCACGAACGCCTGGGACTTAAAGCAAGAAAAACCCTCCAGCCATGTTCCCACTCAGCCCAACTGAGCTGTGGTTCCCAAGGCCAGGACAGACGGCTGTTCTCTTCCTGAGGATACCCAAGGGAAGTCCCACTTAGTTTGAAGACTGCATTTTTCACTTGTCTTTAATGAACTCCCTTGAAGTTACTCTGATATCTTTTTCAGAGTAAATTTGGAGTAGATTTGATCGGTATCTACCTTTAGACACTCCAACAGTCATCTTTTCTAAAACTTTATAATCCCAGTCATTTTAACCTTTCCTCTTGAGCAAAAAAAAACAACACATAAACAAGGCCACTACTAGGAAATATAGCAGGTCCTCGTAAGATGTCTTTCATTATAACATTGATAAGATGCCACAGGAACTTATAATTGTTTATATCAATTAGCCTCTGGTAAAATTGGTTTGTTATATGTCGTTGCACTTAAAGTGGCAGTATCTCTTAACAATGCTAAGTTAGGACTTACTCTACAGCCATACAGTGCTCACCCTGTGGCTCCTTGACTGACTCCCAAATATAATTTTTGTCCTCATCATCCCACCTGCCTCTAATATTGACATCAAAGTCCCATATATCACGGACAGCATATTTTAAACAGAGGTTTGCTGTTTTAAAAAATTATTTTATGTCACTGATCTTACTAGCAAACCAGCAAATAAGTAAAGTATACTAGAGGATTCTCTTGTAAAGGCTATAAGAACCATGCCCTGCATTGAATCAAGACACTAAAATAAAGACAAGCCCAGATTCTCTGAAATATTTAAGTCTATCAAACAGTTCTGAAAAATAGTTTATGCTCAGATTTTACTTATTCCTGGAAGTGCAATTCAATAAATATAGTTCACCTATAAATAAATAATAAGATCTATACATCAACTGGCCCTTTAGATCAGTTTGTGAAAAAGTTGCATCCCATCTAGAAACGTCTTGACACAAGGTCAGATTCCTAAAATGATCGTGTCTCTCGATTCCAGGAATTCTCAGCACCTCACCCAAACAGAACAAGCCCAGCAGGATCTTCTTGAACAAGCTGGCATGCCTTCTGCAGAAACTTTTTGCCTTGGCAAAAGGTCGTAGTAGTCTCCTCCTGATGAGAACCCAAAAATAAAAATACAAAAGTTACTCCATCCCTTCGGTATCAATTCTAGAGCTTAGGTTACCTGGCCCAGGGAAGAATTTTCTCTTAATCAATGAGGAAAATTATCCAGCCAGGGGAACACTGGGTAGTGTCCCAGCAATGCCAAAAAGGCCAGATCGAACCTTGTCAATGGGCAGCAGTTCAGAATAACCCTACCCAACCTAGACTGGCAATATCCTCGGTAATCTCCTACCACAGAGGTGGACACTGGTCACATCATAGAGAGACTCCTGGGACCTACTTCATTCCTTTTCCCTGGGGACCAGGCATTCCTCAGCTTCCATATTCAGAAAAGGGCCTTTTCTTCTGAGCGGCAGCTTTGACCATTCCTTCCCAAAACTCACACAAACCCATAACTCTGAACAGTTGATCAGATGTGCACTGACAGACTGGAAGGAAAACACCCAAAATCCCTGGGTGGGCATGGCCTGAGAGAAGATGCCCAACAAGGAGGACTATTCAAGTTTGATTTAACAAACATTTAGCCCGGCCAGGCGTGGCTCAGCGGTTGAGCGTTGACCTAGGCGATCGGGGTTCGATTCCTGGTCAGGGCACATGCCCGGGTTGCGGGCTCGATCAATGACTCTCATTGTTGATGTTTCTGTCTCTCTCTCTCTCTCCCTCTCCCTTCCTCTCTCTGAAATCAATAAAGATATATTTTAAAAAAACAACAACAAACATTTAGATAGCACTTCCTACGTGCTGGGCTCTCTCTAACAACTTTACCAATAGTAACCCATTGACTCCTCCTAAAATTTCTTGAGATGGCTACTGTTATTATTCTCATTTTACAGATGTGGAAACTGGAAAACAGAAGTTAAGTAACTTTCCCAAGGTCATGGAAGCTGTAAGGAGTAAAGACAGTATGTGAACTCAGGCAGCCTGGTTTCAGGATCTGAGCTCCTCACCATCACCCTATGCTGCATGTTACCTAGATCTCAGACTAGCCTGTCTCTGCCATTCCTCAGTATCCCCAGCACACTGCAGTCATTCGAGCAAAAAGCTCTAATTTCCAAACTCTTAAAGCTCCAGAGAAGGCAAGCCCAGGAAGAAAGTCCCAGTTGGCCATCATGCTGAGGCAGGACAGCTTAGCCAGGGCTGGGACCAGCCACTCACTCCAAATGCCTTGAGGTCTTGGCTCACGAATGTCCATGGCTCTCTCTCCATCGCTGCCTTTCCCATCTAACACCCCCCCTCTTCTTCATACACAGTCTTCCTTTTTCCTCCTTCCTCCTCTTCTTCCTCATTTCCCTTTCTGCAGGGCGCCCTGCCTATTAGCGGAGTAGAACATGTTTTATCAGATATAGGTCATTGGGAAAAGGGGGAAACAATCTGTTTCCACATTCCTGAATCAATTCAAGAGGATACTTTAGGGTCCCAAGGACTCTGCTACCTTTCCAGGCTTAATAGAGAATGTAGTGAGTAAAAGAAGGATTGCTCAGAGGTGTCAGTGTGCCCGAAGGGCATCATTATCTTTGGAACATCTTTCGCAAAGCATGTCGAGGAACGAATTTAATTTTAACCCTAGTCTTCCTGCATGTACTGGATATATTTGAATTCCTCCTCCAGTCCCACTCTCCACCTTGCTCTGTGCCCAGGGAGTCTTACCTTATGGGCTAAACCGATGGACTCCCGTGTCCTCTGGCTTATCTAGTTGGGTTCCACCAGGGGAACCCAGAAGGGGATCAGGGTATAAGAAAAGACTGAGGCCAGCATATTGAAGTCTTCTTTATCTGACTCTCCTAGGTTCTCTTAATCTTGTCCCTTCCGGCTTGGGAATAGTAGCAGCTCCCCGCTGCTAGCCTCGGGTTCTTGCACTGTCCTTCCTTGTGGTTCCACTGCATCTCGCACACATCTTTGTAATGGTCTCTTTGCGAACCTTTTCTAGGTATCCCAACTTAAGTATGCCATTTGTTTCCTGTTGGGACCCAAACTGATACACTAGGTGAAGCTGATATAAAAGTATGCCCAGTCAAGCAAGTTCAGCAAGGCCACTGCAAAAGAAGAGTGGGCATGCACTAGTCCAAGAGTGAATATAAATCACATGCCTAGAGAAGGTTTCTGCTGTCACCTTGTAATCAGACTTGACCATTTCCTGGGAACTAAAGTTCGGTGGGTACTACCAGAAATCAATTAAGAACACTCATTTCTGCAAAACCCATTAACAACCTACCTGATCATAGACTATCAAGTTGGAACTGGACCTCTGGTTTAAAAAAATTAAAATTAAAAAAAAAAGAAAGAAAGCCATGAGAGGCATCCAAATGAACAAAGAAACCAATTGAGAAGCAGTGCAGAGGCATGCGAGCAGGTGTTCATGATCCTGGTATTCTGCTTGGCCTAGGATCTTGCTAATACTACCAAGCCCTTCACTTTACATAATGGTATAGCTTGAGGGTTAGCATTATGTTATATCAGGAAGCTGAACTGAGAAGAAATCTGATAGATGGTGAAACCTGATACCTTGACCACACTTGTTTGAAGTACATACCCGCTGTTAAGTTCTGCCAGTGTGTACATGGGAGGCTTTTCAGATGTGGACTAACAATAACCCTCTCACTTACATGCTTACTGCCTGCAGCCTCAAGCGACAGAGCAAGAAAGAGTAGTGTAAAGATGAGAGGTCACGCTAGCTGTACATAACATTAGAGGGCACTATACATCAGGCCTAGCAGCAAGAGTATGCATCCATCTTCTCAGTGATGTTATCCGCAAGATGTGGAAACTCCCCTAATGAAGGGAGGCAGAGTTATGGAAACTCCTAGGGTCTGGGGTACTATCATTTCTGAATTAGAGTGGGAAGCTTAGCACAGCTTTCTGAAAATCCATCTGCAATGACCGTTGACATTGTAGTCCTGGGTGAATCTGCTGCTCTAGCTTGAAGAACTAAAAAGAAAGGAAATGAGTCAACCTGGAATCAAATGATGGTCTGAGTAAAGGGCAAGGGCCTCCAGGCAGAAGTGACCAGAATCTTTTCAAGGGCTCAAAGGTTTTACTTTAAAGATGATATAAAAAGAACTGGTCAATGAGTACTGTACTTGTACCACTTTGCCAGATTCAAAGTTATGTACGCAACTGGTTTCAAACTGAATGGGCAAGAAGAGCTGGGTGATGTTGTATAGGGTTTGAGGATAGTTATCAAAAGTGTCCAAGGGAGAGTGGTGACAGAGTGAGAAACAAAAAGCTTATCAATACACCACAGTGGAAAGCCAAATAGGAGTTTTTTGGAAGGTAAGAGAAAGTTCTGACAAATGGAAGCCAGAAAACTTACATTGGAAGCAGAGACTCTGTGCATCTGGGGATGTCCAGTTCTGAGAGTCAGCCTAGGTTGAATGAGGAGGGAACCTAAACCAGAACACAGCCAGGTCTTTAACTGCTGAGCTGTGATGGATGTATTGCCTTGAAAGAGCTCTCCCTCCACACTGTACCCAAATCTCTGCTTGATGTGCCCATTTCAGATAACAGAAAACATCAGGTCTTCTTCACATTGACAGCAGAGACCCAATGCCAAAGGTCCACAAAGACAAGAAGGACCTGTATGATGGGATTTCTAACAGGCCCTTCAACCCACGCTCAAACTCTTCCTTCCTGAACTCTGTTCTCTCCAAGTTAGAGGTAGCGGTGGTTCTGACAGGGGGTGGGGTCTTCACCGATAAAGTGCTCTCTCTCATTATGAGGAGTCATGACTACCTTCAATGACCTTTTCAGCCAGACCCTTTAGTTGTGTTGTTAGCAAAAGTTTCTCCTGGTGTCTAGTATATGGTTAATGCCCATCATGGACTTCCTGTGCTAATACAGCTTGCCCCTATTTACACCTTTTAAAAAGATTTCACTAGGAATTTGAAGATGAAGGAGATCTACCTCATTCAGCTATTGGTATCAGGCTCTGGCCCCAATGAGAAACAAAACAAAGAGGGAGTCGGGAGGAGCTCTCAGCAAGGAAGTGCTGCCTAAAATTCTTCACTTGGGAATTGCATTGACATGCAACATAGGCTGGAGGCACCCTTCCAAACCTCCCTCCTGGTAACTTATACAGATCACATCCACCTTCCTATCTAGCCCATCACTACCAGGTTTACCACCATCCCTCCCAGGAAGTCAGAACAGTTGCTCTGATAGGGCAGCCAGAAGACACAGCAGACAGTAAGAGCAGGTGGAGAGCTAGGAGGAAAAGTGAAAAAGAGAAATGATCTTTAAGAAAAAGGAGAGGTCAGTGAGTCAATGGTGATTAAATCAAGCAGCATGGCCAATGAGAAGAAGATGCTAGATTCGGCAGTGAAGAGGTGACTGGTTCAGTCTGAGAGAGCTGTTTACAGGACAGTGACTGGGCAGAAGCAGAACTGCAAGGGACTGAGTGAGTGTGAGCATATACAGACTACTTTTTTAAAAAGTTTGCCTGTGAAGAAAAAGAAAAACCAGATGCTGTTTATTAAGCACCTTTTACCAGGCACTGCAAGACCTCACCAACCATCCTCCCCTAAACCACAAGGTGCAAGTAAGTTTATGAGCAAAGGAACTGAGCCTGCCAGCAGGTGGCAGAGTAAGGATTTAAAACCCAGATCTTTCCATTACTCCATGTGGCTTCTCCTTAGAGATGCAAGACTAGAATTTCAGAGGGATCATTCCACAGTTCCAAACTTGTGATTGCTAAGAGAGCAGAAAAGAAGAAGCGGGTAACCAAGTCTGTGAATGTCGAAGAAGCTTTCACAAAGGAGAGGGCCGATGAGCTGACAGGAAAGGAAAGGGGAAGAAGTTTGCTAAGTGGATAAGGCAGTTAGAAGAGAAGGCTGGGGTATCTCTAGAAGAGGAAACACATACCTGAGTGAGCTTAGCATTTTGAAAGAACATTATTATTTTTCTGTCGCTGGGAAGCAGGGAGCATGTGGATGGATGGTGGGAGGAAAGCTGGTAAAAAAGGCATAGAAACCAGGTCGTGTAGATATGTCATGGTTAGGGATTTAGACATTATCTTGAAGAAGTGGAAAGCCATTGTAGAATTTAAGCAAGGTAATAATGCGAACAGATATCTGTTCTAGAAAGATGACTCTGGTGGCAGTGGGTTGGGAGATGGGCCGGGGGCCATTTAGGAAGGAACAGAGGGTGCATGGGAGGACTCATTTGAGGGATGAATGGCACAGGTGTTAGGAGAGAGGGTTAACATCAAGTGGAGGGAAACTGGGATGATAATGACATTCCTGCCATGGGTGACTTAGGGTGAAAACACCCACCAAACTAGAGACTACAGGGGAGAAGCAAACCAGAGGGGAGACAGACGTGAGGAGGAGATGGGCGTTTATTCATCTGTGTGCCTCGAGCCCAGCCCAGATCTGATGTAGTATGGAAGCCTCAAACCTATGCTGATAAGGGTTTGGTGTCAATGTGTAATTTGAAGTATGTATGTGACATCTAAGTGTTTAGATATTTGGCCAATGGTTAGATATATATGGCTGAAGCTTAGAACAAAGGTGCAGACTTCAGATGTGGCTTTGTGAATCAAGACATTAAGTGTAGGCATGAGAAGAGAAGACAAATAACAGACCCTGGAAAAGTAAAAGAAAGGACCTCCAGAGAGGTGGCAGAATGAGGAGGGTGTAGTGTCCTTAAAATCAAAACATTAGCTTCAAGGAAGGAAAGGGTCCGAAGGGTCACGCTGCAGAGATTTCCAGTGAAAGTGTGTGTACATTGGACTTGATAAGTTAGTTTAATATTACTTAATCTGAGTAAGGAAATTGCAGCTGATCAGTGGTAGTAAGAACTAGATTACACAGGGTTGAAAAGTGAATGGAGAGGTGAGAAAATGCTGTTGCAAGTAAATCCCACTTTTCTGAGAAACTTGGCCATGAAGGAAATGGATAATCACAAGGTTGAGGTAAGGTTGATTTGTTTGTTTGTTTATTATAAGAAAAAATATATATATGAGTACACTTACAGATTGGGGAAGGTTCTACTGAGGAGTAATGGAAGATATAGGGGAAAGAGAGCTCCATAGAAGGGGATAGAGAGGATGGGATTAAGAAGATGGGTAATGATGTTGGCTTCAGACTTGTGGAGGGTAGACCTTCTGATAAAGGAGGGAAAGAGATAAAATTCATGCAGGTGCAGTTACATTTAAGTTGGAACATATGGGAAGATAATTCAGTGTTTAAACAAACATAATAACAGTGTAAGATGGGATTTATAACACATAGAAATAAAATGTATAAACATAAACAATTGTAGTATAATGGCTGGAAGGGGAGATACAGAAGTATACTATTATAAGGTTCTTATACTTTATGTGAAAGGATATAATATCACTTAAAGATAGACTTGATGGGTTGAAGATGTACACTATAAACACTAAAGCAAGCACTAATATAACAAAACAAAGAGCTATAGCGAATAAGCCAACAAAGGAGATAAAATATTTTAAAATATTGGGCCAATCTGAAGAGAGGCATAAAAAGAGGAAAGGCATTAAAAAAATAAAATGGAAATACATCTTGTGTTCATGAGTCATAAGATTTAATATTGTTAAAATGTGCATACTGCCCAAAACCATCTATGGATTCAACACAATCCCCAACAAAATACCAATGGCATTGCTGACAGAAATAAAAAAAACAACCCTAAAATTCATATGAAACCACAGAAGACCCCAAGTAGCCAAAGCAGTCCTGAAGAAGCAGAACAAAACTGGAGGTATCATACTTTTTTGTTTCAAAATATAATACTGTACAAAGTTATAGTAATAAAAACAGTATGGCATGTTATAAAAAGACACATAGACCAATAAAACAGAATAGAGAGCTCAGAATTAAACTCCCACATATATAGTCAACTAATATTCGACAAGGGAGCCAAAAACACCCAATGGGGAAAAGATAGTCTTTTCAACAAATAGTGTTGAAAAAACGGTAAACACATGCACCACAATAAAATTGGTCTTCTGTCTTACACCACTCACAAAAATTAAGTCGAAATGGATCAAAGACTTAAACATAAGATATGATATCATAAAACTCCTGGACAAAAATGTAGGTAAAGAAGCTCCTTAACATTGATCTTGGCAATAATTTTCTGGATATGACACCAAAAGCACAAACAACAACAGCAAAAAATCAACAAGTGGAACTACACCAAACTTAGAAGCTTCTGCATAGCAAAAGAAACAGTTAACCAAATGAAAAAGCAACCTACAGAATGAGAGAAAATTTCTGCAAACCATATATTGGATGAGGAGTTAATACCCAAAATATATAAAGAACTCATAAAACTCAGTAACAAAACCAAAAAAAATACAAACAATAAAATTAAAAAGTGGACAGGGGAACTGAATAGACATTTTTCCAAAGCAGATATCCAAATGGCCAACAGGTATATGAAAAGATGCTCAACATCAGTAATCATCAGAGAAATGCAAAGAAAAATCGCAATGAGCTGTCATCTCACACTTGTTAGAATGGCCATTGTCAAGAAGATAAGAGATATAATTAGTGTTGGCAAGGATGTGGACAAAAGGAAACACTTGTACTCTGTTGGTGAGAAGGTAAATTGGTTCAACCAGTGTGGAAAACAATATGGAAGCTCTTCCAAATATTAAAAATAGATCTACCATATGACTCAGCAATTTCACTTATAGGTATATGCCCACAGGACCCACAGGAAATGAAAACAAAATATTGGAGAGATGTATGTACTCCCATGTTTATTTCAGCATTATTCACAACAGCCAAGAGATGGAAAAATCTAAGTGCCTGTCAATGGATGAATGGATAAAGATGTCCTGTGAATATGTATGTATATATGGCTAAGTTCAGAAAGAGTAATGAAAAGAAAGAGAAGCTAACATCAACTTACATTGCAAGATCAGATTAAGGATTTCCTGAGGAACCAAAAACAGCAGTTAAGAGAGGCCATAGGCAGGTCTGAGTGTGAGTCCCGAAAATGGTTGGCCTTCAGATAATCACTAAAATCTTGTCAATTCTACTCTAAAAGTGTCTCTGGGATTTAACTACTCTAATAGATTCGCACGTGACCATATTCTTTTTTTTTTTAATCCTGATCCTCACCCGAGGATATTTTTTCCATTCCATTTTGGAGAGAGTGGCAGGGGTGGGGGAGGGGAGAAACACTGATGTGAAAGAGACACATGGATTGGTTGCCTCCTGCACACACACACCGGCCAGGGCTGAGGACAAGCCTACAACCAAAGTATGTGCCCTTGGCTGAAATCGAACCCTGGACAATTCAGTCTGAAGGCTGACACTCTAATCATTTAGCCAAACTGGCTAGGGCCATGATCATATTCTTTTAAAAGATTTTTTATTCATTTTTAGAGAAAGAGGAAGGGAGAGGGAGAGAAAAAGAAGCATCCATACGACAGCAAAATGTCAATCCCCTGCCTCCTGCATGTCCCCAAAAGGGAACAAGCCTGAAACCAGGGCACGTGCCCTGATGGGGAATTGAACCTACAACCTTTTGATGCATGGGATGACACCCAACCAACTTAGCCACACTGGCCAGGGCAAAAATCTGTAACTGGCTGTGATCAATTAATTGTAGGCACCACTGCATTCGGGCCAGCCATGTCCATATTGATATATATCAATTTGTATACCGAAGTGAATTTCTAGAGAAGAAATAGAATTTAAATTTTTAAGCTTATTTTCTCTGTGAAGTCACTAAGTTAATGCTTGAAAATAAAGAAAAGAAAACAAAAGTAACTTTTTGTTTGGGAGTATTACCTTTAGAAATTATTCAATAGCTTCTTTTAAGCTTCTCAACGTATGACTTCTGCACTTTTTAAATAAATATCTGGACCCTTTTCCACACCATGCAACATGGCTTCCATTGGACCCCTTTTACCCAAACAACTTTCTTAGCCATTACTTCTGGGACCAAATCCATGATCAGATTCAAAGATTTTTCTCACTCCTTCCCTGACCCTTGTTTCAGACAGAACTGTGAGCTGTGCCTTCATTCGATGCTCCCTTCTCCTTTGACTTTCAAGACTGTACTTTTCTACTTTCACTACTATCCCTCATGGTGGTCCTTCTCTCTCTTTCTCTCTTTCTTTCTCTCTTTCTTTCTCTCTTTCTTTCTTTCTTTCTTTCTTTCTTTCTTTCTTTCTTTCTTTCTTTCTTTCTTTTTCTGATTTTGCTTTCTTTCCAACCCCTAAATCTGAGGAGAGCTCTTTTTTTCCTTTCAATGATATAGGCAAGTTAATTTCTATGCCTCAATTTTCTAATTGGAAAAAAGGGATTAAAATCAGTATCGGCCTGTTGCCGTGAAAATTAAATGAATCACATAAAGCATTCTGCACAATAGTGCGTACTCAATAAGTGTCAGTTCTTATTCTCATTGTTATTTTTGTTGTCAGTCCAACCAACTCCCATTATATATGGCACAGGTTTAGATACAAATACAGATGTGCATAGGGTAAGGTGAGGTGGCTGTGAGTCTTACTGCCACAATTACCGTGAGCTTCCTTAGTCCGGTGGCCACGATTAACCTGTCCTAGTCCTTAGGTCCTAACTGAACCAATTCTAGAGCACACATACCTCCAGGGAGTGGAAGGCCCCGGCCCATCGCCGAGGCTTTGTCCCGGCCCTCCAGTCCTCCTGGTTCCCTCAGGATTTAATCCTTCCTCCTGTAAGCACAGGCAGAGCTGCAGTCAGTCACAGGGCCCTGCCAGGGGTGATGGGGGTTGTGAGCAGCCAAAGACCCTACAAGAAGGCCACACAGCAGACCCAAAAGCTCTGCAGAAACTAAACCGGTAGATTACCGTGAGCTCCAGCCCTGGGTTCTCTATGCCAGTCTCCACTATGGACAGAGCAGTGGCCTCTTTTCCATTTGTTTTCTCCATCTCCTGTTCTCAACTGAAAAACAAATGCAGAGCCGAGGCTGAACGATTGGTCATTCTATAACATGGGGCTAGGGAGAACTTTTAGGGCCATTTACCCACAGGAGAAACAAAATTAAAAGTCTTTAGAGACTTAGTTGATTTCTTTAAGAACTGAAAATTGGAAAGGTCAGAAGCATAATTTTAATAAAATAATGAAATACAGACTTCTATTTCCTATTGTGAATAGGTAGGGAAGGGTAATAAGATAGGAGAAGAGTAACAAAGGGCAGGAGGACTTGAAATGAATCAGTGGTTTACCCAGGTCCCCAGGACCTAGACTAAAAAAGGATCCCATTGGGCCCCTTAAAGGAAGAGTCAGAGGGCAACTACTCCTGTTAGCCTGGGAGAGGCCCCACTGACCTGGACCAGGTAAGAAGTAAACAGAAAGGAAGGCGGGGGCTGGGAAGGCCCCAGACCCCAACATATTGCTGAGAAAACAAAAATTAGCAGGCTTTCAACTTCCTGACTATATTGTAGTACAAAAATTGTTTTTGGAGCATCTAAGAGAGCTCCTCATTAGTTAAATAAAAGAAACCTGCACTTAGAATAGTCAGTATAAATGTTAATGATCCCAATAAAGAAAGTTTTAAAACAAAATGAATCAAGAAACTAAAGCAATATTTGAGCCTCACTGTAAGCAACCCTAATAGACAAACATTCAAATTTATTAACTCATTCTGGGATGTTTCTTTACTTTGCAGAAAATTTACTTCCCCATGGAATTGTTGTTGTTTTTTAAAATGTAATCTCTTTGGTCATTTAAAGTATAATTTCATTAAACACTCCTGACAAATTTTTGTTGTGTAAATTAAGACCTTCCTATATAGGCAGAGAACAACCTGAATTTGATCTAAACTCAATTAGTTAAGAAATTTGGCAAATCAGGTTCCTTCCCTCCCCAAATACCCTTTCTTACACCAGCTTGCAGGATTCCTTCTGTTTCCTCAATAAAGGACCGAAAGAAAAACTCAGCTCTAAGAGATCCGGACTCTGAAGGGACAGGCTGGGACTGGCTTTCCTGTGGCTCTTTTTGTCTTGGGCCCTCTTTTCCTGTGCCTCTCCGCCCCTGTAGAGGAGGAGTGCAATTCTCAAGTTAAACATTTACATGTTTTTAAGACTGTTTTACAGGGTCAGGTCTAAAAGTTCTGCAGGAACTCCTAACAGGCATATCAGCAGAAGCGTTGCCCAGCATTGAACTACGAGAAGGTTCTCTGCACTCAGAAAACTTATCATTTTGTACGGGAAAGACAATTACTAGGGGGGGAAAACAACAACAAAAAAACAGAAAACAGGACTATGCAGGATTCAATGCGAAATGATCACTAGGAAGTCTTTTATTAATCCATTCAACAAATATTTATTGAGTACTCACTGTTTTGGGTGCTGAAGATTCAAAGATGAATGAAATATTGTTTCTGCCATGAAGGAACTTTACAAATCATTAAGGGAAGACAGATGTGTCAGAAAGGTTCACGGAGTTGGTAACATTTGCCCTGAGTCTGGAAAGTCTTGAAAGGTAAGTAGGGGATCAATGATGGAGAAGGGGAAAGATATACCAGCCGAGAGAGAAACTTGAACAAAGGCATAGACATGCTAAGGAGGCTGCAAAAATTAGCTGAAGAATGGAGAGAAATTTTCAAGAAATTAAGGACAAAATAGAGAAATTAGTTAAGGAATGAAGGGAGAGAAATGTGAGTGGAATGGGGGTGATCTATCCAGAAATAAGTCTGGAGATGCAGTCAAGTACCAGATGGAGGTGGATCCTATAAACCAGGCTAAAAATTTGGGCTTATTCTGAACCAAATTGGGAGGCATGAGGACGGCTTGGTAGGATGCACACTGAGCACAGGGAGACCAGCCAGGAGACAAAAACATTAGTCCAGGTCAGATATGGTGAGGCTCTAACCAAAGCAGTAGCAGAGTTGGATAGAAGGAAACAAGTCTATAGGACTTGGTTGGCCAAGGGAAGAATGTATAGAAGGAGAAAGAGAATTCTTCGAACTTGTTCAAAATGATCTAGTTTCTGCCTACCCTCCAGTAATACTTAGCTGCATGTTGTTCCCTAAACACACAGCATTCCCTTGTGCCTGTGCAAGTTTGTGGATGCTGTTCTTTCTGCCTTTAACACACTGCTCCTGTCTATCCACATAAGAAGAACCTCAATTCACCTCCCACAGACACACCAAATCTATAGCTATACATGGAACAATTTCCCCTGGAAAAAAAAACAAAAACCAAAACACTAAAAACTGGTGGAGCAGTCCTTCCACATCAGGCAAATGAGAGGGAAACCACATGGAAGTGGGTAGGAACGGCTGAGACACAATCCCATCACAAATATCCTCGCCAGCCCCCCTCCAGTCCCCTACTCCCTGCCCCCCACATGGCAGCCTGCAATCAGGAACGGACTCGAAACCTGAAGGCTCTCCCTGAGGAGTGAAGGGTTTGTACTTCACATTGGGCACCCCAACTTTTAAGACCAGCACCTGAGCCCAAGAAAGGGGGGGTTGGGGTCTGGGTGACAGGGGGCAAAGGCAGGGGAAATTGGGGGCATCTGTAATATTGTCAACAATAAAAAAAAAAAAGACCAGTACCTGAGAGAGAAGCCCCCTAACATCTGGCCTTAAAAAACAATGAGGCTCAAGCCCACGAGACTTGCAGGGCTGTGGTGAACTGAGGAATATCTCTTAAAGGGCCCATGCCTTCCAAACTCATTTATGAAGCCAATTATTATCCTGATACCAAAACCAGACAATTACAACACAAAAAAAGAAAATTATAGGCAAACATCTCTGATTTACATAGATGCAAAAATTCTCAACAAATGATTAGCAAACCAAATTCAACAGTACATTAAAAGGATCATCCACCATGATCAAATGTGATTTATTTCAAGGATACAAGGGTGGTTTAACATTTGCAAGTCAATCAGAGTCAGAAGAACAAACTGGGAGTATACTGTTGTAAAGTCTTTTTACCACCTGTGGAGCTGTATGATATTATCTAGACATAGAATCTGATCTTTAACGATGTATACGCAACCACTAAAAAAACTTTAGTGGTTAAAGAATCAGTCAAAAGCGGAAATTAAATAAAATCATAAAAATACTCGGTTAATCCAAAAGAAGGCAGAAAATAAAGAACAAATGAAACAAACAGAAAACACCTAGCAAGATGGTAGATTTTAAGCAAGCCATGTCAATAATTACATTAAATATAAGCAGTCTAAACACAGCAAAAAATACAGAGATTGCCGGATTGAATTTAAAAATAAAAGCAAGGCCCTGGCCAGTGTGGCTCAGGTGGTTGAGCATTTCCCAGTGCACAGAGAGGTTACTGGTTCAGTTCCTGGTCAGGGCACATACCCAGGTTGTGGGTTTAATCCCAAGTTGGTATGCATGGGGATTGATGTTTCTCTCTCACATTGATGTTCCTCTCTCTCTTTCTTTCCCTCTCCTGTCCTCTCTCTCTAAAATAAATAATATAAAAACTTACTTTTTAAAAAAGTTAATGAGCAATGTATAAAAAAAATTAAAGCAAGACAGACTTAATTGTATGCTGTCTGTAAGGAACTAATTTTAAATATAAAAATATAAAATGAAAGTAAAAGAATGGAAAATGAGATTTTATGGAAACACACACAAAGCGGGAGTATCTATATTAATATCAGAAAAATTAAGCTTCAGAAAAAAGAATATTGCTAGAGATTAAGAGAAATGCTATTTTAATGAAAAGGAGTGAATTCATCAAGAATATTTAACAATCTTAAATGTATTTGTACTAAACAATGTAACTTCAAAGGATATAAGGCAAAGCCCCAATAAAGTTGAAAGGAGAAATAGACAAATATACATTTATGTTTAGAGAGTTTAATACTCTTCTCTCAATAATTAACAGAATAAGTAGGCAGAAAATGCATGAGGAAATAGAAGACCTGAACAACACTATTAATTTACTTGACATAACTGACATTTTTGAAACATTTTATCTAACAAGAGAGAATATACATTGGCTTTAGGTATATACAGAACATTCACCAAGATAAAACATATTCTGGGCCCAAAAAATCACAATAACTTAAAATATTTAAAATAGTTGAAATTGTACAAAATATACTCTAAGACAACAAAGATATTAAGCTAGGAATCATTAACAAAAAGATATCTTGGAAGTCCCCCAAATATTTGGAAATTAAACAAGATATTTATAAATAACCCATGAGTCAAAGAAGTCATAAGGGAAATTAGAAAATATTTTAATTGAATGGAAATGAAAACATCAAAATCTATGAAATGCAACTGAAGTATTGTAGGTGGCAGGAATGGCACCAGGGGTTACACTGGTGTGGTCTGACTGGACCTGAGTTCAGCAAACTCGGTACTTGAGTTCTGGCTAGGAAAGAATTCAGAGCCAAGACTCAAACTATAAGAGAATATTTATTTGGAAAATCACAGAGATAGAAGAAGTAATTCATAGAAGAAATGGGCTTAGGAAACAAGTTATAGAGGTAAAGAAAGGGCCCTTGGAGCTTGATATTGAGGAAAATAATGGAAAGGGAGAGAAGAGAAAAAGGTGAGGGCATGCTCCCAGGAGGGAGAACATGCTGGGTCCTCTGTCCTAAGGGTTTTAAGGGTGGAGATTTTAGGGGAGGTCCCAGAGGAATATCTCAATAGAATATTCAGCAGCTTTCCAGGTGTGTCCTTTCGGGGTCAGCGTCTCTACTGACTTATTGGTCTGTGCCAGGGCAGGGGATCATTATTCAATGCAGCTGGTCCTGAGGTCAGCCTTGGTGTCGCTTGTCTGGCTTTTCTGCTTTTCTGGGCCTGGAGCTGAAACACAACTGAGGCCTAGATGTTGTCTCTAGGGAGGAAAGGTCAGGGGGTCCAAACTGCATGATAAGTGATATGCTAGGGGAGGAAAGGTCACCCTGGGGGTGAGGTCCCACCCTACAATTGTCCTTT